GTGAGAAGAGGGAGGGGCAAGGGTGGGAGCAAGGAGTCCAGTAAGGGCACTGCTGCAGTAACAGAAGTGATTTACTAATGAGCTATATGTGGAGTTTCAGAGCATAAAAGGAATCAAGGATGACTTCAAGAGTTTTGGACTGAAAAACAAGAAGAATAAGAAAATGGATTGAAGAAAAGATCATAACTTTAAAATGTATTGAGATGTTTGTTGCCATCTGTTTGAATACATTGAATGGGCATTCTGAGGTGTTTGACTGGATATTAGGAGTGAGGTTCAAGCTGAAAATATAAATTTAGGAGTGAGCAGCACATGGATGGTATTTACATGGATGGTATTACACAGTATTTTAGAAGGAGGCAATTTAATGCCTTAGGGCAACATAGAATGTCTTGGTAATTGAGATTACCAAGACAATGAGTATGCTTAGAAAAGAAAATCAAGGATTCAGTCAGGGTCACACCAATTCTTTTATCCAAGAATTGTTACTAATTCTTGGAGAAAAGGAGCATCGAGAAAAGAAGACTGAGTAGGAGCAACCAGTAGAAGGTAGAAGGAAATTTAAGAGACCATGGTGAACTGGGAGCCAAGTGAAAAAGATATCAAGGAAAATGGTATGATCAACTGCACCAGATGTTGTTAATACGTCAAGGAAGATGATGGCTGAGATTTGATCACTGAGTTTAGCACATGGAGGTCATCAGTGTCCTTGACAAGAGGTCTTTTGCTTTTTGTGCATCTTTTGTGTGTTTTTTGGTTTGAGGTTACCATGAAGCTTGCAAATCCTATCTTATAACCCATTATTTTAACCTGATAACACTATTTGCATAAATAAACTAGCAAAAAGAACACTGATAAAAACTCTACACCTTAGCTTCATCCCTCTGCTTTTTAATGTTTTGTTGTCTCTATTTATATCTGATTATACTGACTACACATTGAAATGTTCTCATTATTATTTTTTATTGGTTCATCATTTAGTCTTCCTACTTGGGATAATTGTGGTTTACACACCACAGTTATGATGTTATGATATTCTGTGTTTTCTCTGTTCTTACTTTTACCAGTGAGTTTTGTGCCTTCAGGTGATTATTTATTGTTCATTAATGTCCATTCCTTCTAATTGAAGTACTACTCCCTTTAGCATATCTTGTAGGACAAGTCTGGTATTGATGAAACCCCTCAGCTTTTGTTCGTCATAGAAAGTCTTTATTTCTCCTTCATGTTTGAAGGATATTTTCAACATATATACTATTCTAGGATAAAAGATTATTTTCCTTTAGCACTTTAAATATGTCATGCCACCCTCTCCTGGCCTGTAAGGTTTCCACTGAAAAAGTTTCCACTTAGAAAAGTCTGTTGCCAAGCATATTGGAGCTCCATTGCATGCCATTTGTTTCTTTTCTCTTGCTGCTTTTAGGATCCTTTGTTTATCCAAGAGCCATTTTGGTGGAGTGTGGGGGAAAAGTCTGATTGGAGATGGTTTAAGAGATAACTGGGGCGAGACGTGGTGGCTTATGCCTGTAATTCAATAACTGTAGGAAGCCGAGGTGGGTGGATCACGTGAGGTCAGGAGTTCGAGACCAAACTGGTCAACATGGTGAAACCCTGTCTCTACTAAAAATACAAAATATTAGCTGGGCATGGTGGCACATGCCTGTAATCCCAGCTACTCAGGAGGCTGAGGCAGGAGAATTGCCTGAACCCATGAGGTGGAGGTTGCGGTGAGCCGAGATCGGGCCATTGCACTCCAGCCTGGGTAACAAGAGTGAAAACTCCGTCTCAAAAACAAACAAACAGACAAAACAAAACAAAAATTAGATGGGCGTGGTGGCACACGTCCAGCTACTCAGGAGGTTGAGGCAGGAGAATCACTTGAACTTGAGAGGCAGAGGTTGCAGATCCACCACTGAACTCCAGCTTGGGTGACAGAGTGTGACTCCATCTCAGAGAGAGAGAGACGGGTGGCGGGGGGGGGGGGAGAGAGAGAGAGAGAGAATTGAATGAGCATTGAAGTCAATAATCAAGAATTCTCTTGAAAAATTTTCTGCCAAGGGGAACAATGAACTGACTGCTAGTTAAGGAAGTGGCATTAGGACAAGATATATAAGTGTTTTTAAAGACAGGATCAGTAACAGCATGTTGATACATTATGGGGAATGATCCTATAGAGACTGAAAAATGAGGGATGCAGAAGAGCAAGAGGAAAGTTGCTGGAGCAATATTGTTTGGAAGATGAGGAGGGTGGGATCTGGTATCCTCAGGCAGTGTGTAGGGAAAACTCTCTGTTTTTCCTCTACTCACAACACTCAGCAACAATTATCAACACAGAAGAAGACTTTTGTGACCAAATATGTGGGGATTTATTCCCCACACACCAAGCAGCGGACACCAATTTAGTGTCTTCTAATTCGATTCTGACACTGTCTACCCAGAGATAGAGTTGCAAGTCTGGCCTTTGGAACTTCTGACCAACCAGCTTCAAGTTGGGTTTTGTTGTTGTTGTTGTTGTTGTTGTTTTTGAGACGGATTCTTGATCTGTCACCCAGGCTGGAGTGCAGTGGCATGCTGTTTTCTCTGCAACTTCCACCTCCTAGGTTCAGGCAATTCTCCTATCTCAGCCTCCCGAGTAACTGGGACTACAGGCAGGTACCACTAGTATTTATTTGCTCCACTAGTATTTATTTATTTGTTTATTTTTAGTAGAGATGGGGTTTCACCATGTTGACCAGGCTTGTCTCGTACTCCTGACCTCAAGATATCCACCCACCTCAGCTTCCCAAAGTGCTGGGATTAAAGGCATGAGCCATTGTACCTGGCCTCAAGTTGGGGTTCTTATAACCCCCTCTTTGGGTTCAATTAATTTTCTAGAGTGGCTCACAGGACTCTGGGAAACAGTTACTTACATTTACTGGTTTATGATAGAGGATATTCCAAGGGATACAGATGAAGAGACATATATAGGGCAAGGTATGGGGGAAGGGGCATGGATATTCCATGCCCTCCCTGGTGCACCACCCTCTAAGAACTTCCATGTGTTCAGCTATCTGAGAGCTCACTGAACCCTTTCCTCTTGAGTTTTTATGGAAGCTTCATGATTTCAGCATTCCTTCTCCCAGAGTATAGGGTCAGACCCTCTCATGGGAAGGTCTTAAACCCACAATCAGAAAGGCAGCAAAGCATTAGAGTCCTGCCTTGAAGCAGGAGAAGGTCAGAGTCCTGTTCCTGAGGCCTCACACACCCAACATTTTAACAAAAGACTAACAAGGGCTATAGGAGTTGTAAACCAGGAACCGTGGATGAAAACCAATATATGTCATAACACCACAGGCAGACTTGACTTTCAAGTGGAGCATAAAGGAAAGCAGAAATGTGAGTGAAGACATGGGCAAATATTGAGGTGGAGGCTGGGTAAATTTCCTTCTGGCTGGCTCCATTTTCCTGAGGCAGTATAAACAAAGTCATCAGCTAAGAGTGGTTTGGAAGCATGAAAAGTGGCAGTTGTTGTGTTGGGAGTGTGTGATATTGCTTATTCCAAGTTGGCCAGAGTTTGGACTACCTTCCTTCTCTGGGCAGGATGGTACTTTTGATGAGACAGTGAAACCTGAGTCATAAGGCACTGAGACACTGAGGCCAGCTCAAGGGTTTCAGGCATCATGTGTTGTAACGTCATTTTCTCAATGCTCTGCCTAAGGTGGGATGTTGCAACTCCCTGAATAGATTCAGGGAGGACCCAGAGCTGGTGAGGTACACATATGGGCCAGGGAGGGAAGCAGTAGGCATAGCAAGGTGATGCTCTGAGGGAAGGGATGTCTTGATCTTTTCCACTATTCTGCTTTGGAAATTAAGGGTCTTTGGTAACAGACAATAATCACAATCTTCTCTTCTTAATTTAGGAAAATGTGAAAAAACTTTCCTCTTATATTTTATTTATATAGATAGATAGATAGTGTTTGGGTATTTTGCAAATGTGTGTATGTGTGTATTTGCATATATAAATATAAAATACATATATGTGGAAATGTAGATAGGAGAGGCAATAGAGCAAACATGATTTATGGACAAAAGGAGCTTTATACATGGGATTTGTAGACTTACATTGTCCCCTTCCTCATTGCAGATATTCAGATCAAGTCCAGGGAGGGGCATGGGACCCTTCCTTAAGAAGAATAATTGCAAATCTGTTACAACCCTCTTTCCTACCTATCAGGAGTCTTGATATGTTACTGTCAAGGAATGCTCAAGAGACAGAAACCATAACTCAAACTGGCTTAAGCAAAAGATGAATTTATTGATTTGGATAATAATAGCAGAACAACCTGATTCCAGGTACTATCTGATCCAGTGTCTAGTTGGATCACCGGAACCTGTTTCTTCTTCTGAAATAACTCTGTTTTCATGCTGGCTGTCTCCTTATGAGGTGGAGTTTTCTGAGAAGCAGATGCCAAGACAGGATTAGATATGGTTATGGTTTGGGTCTCCATGTATCAATCCAACTCAGGCCCTGTGTCCAGTAATTTTCAAAATGTCAGGTATTCATCTTGTATTAGTACACGGATAACCTAGTAAGTGGTAGTAATTTCCTTTGGGGAAGGACTGGTAGAATTACAGTATATATTTGTAGCAGTGTTGCAGAGTCTCTTCGAGGGACCTGGCCACCTCTTCATTCAATGGGTCTGGATCTGAAAATTAACTCAAGTTTGGGAAGTGAGGGATATGATTTGGCTGTATCCCCACCTAAATCTCATATTTACTTGTAGTTCCCATAATCCCCATGTGTTTTGGGAGGGATCCAGTGGGAGGTAATTAAACCATGGTGTGGTTATCCCCATGCTGCTGTTCTCGTGATAGTAAGTTCTTACAGGATCTGATTTTTACAAATGGCTTTTTCTTCTTTGCTCAGAACTTCTTCCTGCTGCCATGTGAAGAACATATTTACTTCTCCTTCTGCCATGATCGTAAGTTTCCTGAGGCCTCCCCAGCCATGTGGAACTGTGAGTCAATTAAACCACTTTCCTTTATAAATTACCCAGTCTCAGATATGTCCTTATAGCAGCATGAGAATGGACTAAAGTAAATTGGTACAGGTAGTGGGGTACTGCTGTAAAGATACCTGAAAATGTGGAATTGACTTTGGAGCTAGGTAACAGGAAGAGGTTAGAACAGTTTGGAGGGTCAGATGAAGACAGGAAGATATGGGAAAGTTTAGAACTTTCTAGATACTTGTTGAATGGCTTTGAGCAAAGTGCTGATAGTTGTATGGACAATGAAGTCCAGGCTGAGGTGGTCTCAGATGGAGATGAGAAACTTGTTGGGAAGTGGCATAAAGGTGACTCTTGCTATGTTTTAGCAGAAACTGGTGGCATTTTGCCCCTGCCCTAAGGATCTGTGGAATTTTAACTTGATAGGAATGATGTAGAGTATCTAGTGGAATAAAATTCTAAGCAGCAAAGCATTCAATGGGTATCACTTGGGTGCTTTTAAGAGCATTCAGTTTTATGTGTTCACAAAGATATGGTTTAGAATTGGAACTTATGTATAAAAGAGAAGCAGAGATGAAAGTTCAGAATATTTGCAGCCTGACAATGTGATAGAAAAGAAAAACTCATTTTCTGATGAGAAATTCAAGCTGGCTGCAGAAATTTGCATAACAAGGAGCCAAATGTTAATTACCAATATGATGGGGGAAAATGTCTCCAGCACATGTCAGAGGTCTTCATGGCAGCCCCTCCCATCACAGGTCCAGATGCCTACAAGAAAAGAGTGATTTTGGCCAGGCCTAGGGCCTTGCTGCTTTGTGCAGTCTGGAGATGTGGTGCCCTGCATCACAGCTGTAGCTAAAAGGGTCCAGTGTAGAGCTCAGGCTGTTGTTTCAGAGGGTGCAGCCCCAAGCCTTGGCAGCTTACATGTGACATTAGGCTTGTGGGTACACAGAAATCAAGAACTGAGGGTTTGAAACCTCAGTCTAGATTTCAGAGGATGTATGGAAATGCCTGGATGTCCAGGCAGAAGTTTGCTCCAGGGGTGGAGCCCTCATGGAATACCTCTGCTACGCCAGTGCAGAAGGGAACTGTGGGGTCAGAACCCCCACACAGAGTCCCCACTGGGGCACTGCCTAGTGGAGCTGCAAGAATCGGGCAACCATCCTCCAGACCACAAAATGACAGATCCACCAACAGCTTGCGTCGTGCACCTGGAAAAGCTACACATACTCAATGCCAGCCCATGAAGGCAACCAGGAAGGGGGCTGTACACTGCAATGCCACAGGAGCTGCCTAAGGCTGTGGGAGCCCACCTCTTGAATTCACATGAAATAGTTGTGAGACAAAGTCAAAGGAGATCATTTTGGAGCTGTAAGATTTGACTGCCCTGCTGGATTTTAGAATTGCATGGGCCCTATAGTCCCTTTGTTTTGGCTAATTTCTCCCATTTGGAACAGGTGTATTTACCCAATGCCTGTATGCCCATTGTATCTAGGAAGCAACAAACTTTCTTTTGATTTTACAGGCTCATAGGCAGAAGGAACTTGCCTTGTGTCAGATGAGATTTTTGGACTTGGACTTTTGAGTTAATGCTGAAATGAGTTAAGACTTTGGGTGACTGTTGGGAAGGCAGGATTATGTTTTGAAATGTGAGAACATGAGATTTGGAAAAGATCAGGGGCAGAATGATATGCTTTGGCTGTGTCCCCATGCAAATCTTATCTCAAATTGTAGTTGTCATAATCCCCATATGTCATGGGAGGGAACTGGTGAGAGGTGATTGAATCATGGGGTTGGTTACCCTCATGCTGCTGTTCTTGTGGTAGTGAGTGAGTTCTCATGAGATCTGATGGTTTTAAAAGGGGCTTTTCCTTCTTTGTTTGGCACTTCTCCTTCCTGCCGCATGTGAAGAAGGACACATTTGCTTTCCCCTCTGCCATGATTATCAATTTCCTGAAGCTCCCCCATCCATGCTGAACTGTAAGTCAGTTAAACCTCTTTCCTTTACAAATTACCCAGTCTCAGGTATGTCGTTTTAGCAGTGTGAGAATGGACTAATACAGTGAGCAAGGGATCATGACTGTTTATTAGGGTCATTGTCCTCAGCTTACTTACTACTTCTCAATCCTTGCCCTTTTCTGGTTGTTGGACTTGGACTTTTGAGTTAATGCTGAAATGAGTTAAGACTTTGGGTGACTGTTGGGAAGGCACCCTTGCTGGTTAAACGTCACCCTTGCTGGCCACTCCCCTGATTTGCCCCTAGAGATGCCTATGGTCTATTAACCATCTCCATACCCTACTTTGGGACAAGCTTCCATTGACTGCCCCTCTGATCTTGGTGATTGTGAGGTTCTGGCATCTTTCATTTAAGTGCCATGACCTGATCACTATTACTTTAGAGGCCCCAGTATTCCCATTGGATATTAAGAATCACAGCTCTATGACTGCCTCTATTGTCAGTCTTGTCCTGCAGAAGAAAGCTACTGTACTACTCAGTGATGCAAGTGCCCTTCTTAGCACATTCCTGATTTCCTTGGTGAATGGTGTTTCCTCTGGACCCTCCCCTAGAACATAGTCATCTTGTAGTTTTTCCGACCTCACATAATATAGCCACTCCAGGAAGCCGACTTCTCCTTTTCAGCCTTTTTATTCCTTCCTCTTCCTCCTGCCTTGGTAACTCAGGCATTTCCACTTTGCTCAGTGTTGGATTACTTTCTTAGGCTTCAAAGAGCCATTCTAACAATGAGAGTTTGCACCATCCTCTGGGTCTTACCAGGCCATTAAGCTTCATGTCCTACAAAAGTACTTCCAAGTCAAAGAAACCTTGCTTGTTCAGTTTCATATTCTAACTCCCTGTGCAAACATCCTCAAAATTCAGTATCAGTTGTCTTCATTGGCTAGTTGTACCTTGGAATTTAATTTCTTTCCTCCCTTATCAGGCCCAGCATGTTCCCAACTGGGTTTAACCCTACGGTTATTGGCCTAGCAGCCAAGAGATGAGGTAGGGGTGCTCCTGAGAGGACATCTATTAAGATACACTTATTCTGTTTTGCAGCATAAGGGTCAGTCATACCTGAAAGTTCTTAGATTCCTGAAGGGTCTGCAGAGTCAACATTAGGAGTATCCTTCCATTCACCAAGGCTATCAGGAATGTGCTGGTAAGAAGGGTACCAGTCACACTAAGAAATTCAGCAGCTTCCCTCTGCAAGCCAAAACTTGCAGTAGAGACAGTCACAGAGCTGAGCTCATTAACATCCATGGGGAGAGTGGTGTTCTCATAGTAATAAAGTAGTAATGTTTCACTGTAGAAGCTGTTTCAGGATTTTACGTTTTCCCAACCAAAGCTCTGACATTTAGCATACAGCCCTGCCTGGCTGGTATCATCTGAATGTCTCTAGAGCTCTGTAACTATCATATCCTCAATTTGCTGGTAGCTGTGTCTACTCTTCCAATACAGGAGATAAGGGCTGTCAAAGATATCTTCTAGCTTTCATACTTAACCTTTAACTACCAATCAGATAAATGATTTCTCATCGTCCCTCTGCAAGGCATCAGTACTACTCTGTAACCAACCAACTCTTGCAGGCACTGTCCTCCTTATATCTTTCAAATGCTTTGATTATTACATCAACCAGGGGATTTCCTATTACCAGTTTGTTTTCCTAGGTAGAAAACATTTCATCACCATGAAGTCTTTAGCAGTGCCATCTCTTTCTAGGAGCTATCCATACTCTACATACTGCACAATATGGTATCTTATTTGCCTGTCGGATAGTAAGTAAACAAGTCTCAAAATTTTATCTTACCACTGGTTCTCTCAGAACATTCTCACAAGCATTTGTATTAGCTCAGATCCTTTGAGATCTGCTAAGATGGGATTCGAAGTCCAAGAGGTTTACTGGGAAAACAGTTAGGACAAATAAAGGGGAAGCAGCTAGTGCAAGTGAGAACCTTCAAACATCAATGCAGGTGAAGAAGAGAGAGGAAAGGAAGAAGGAGAATTTGGTTGGTAGAGTTTCAGATTGCAGCACAATTCTAAGAAAGTTTCAACCACCTTTACGGGGAATTCTCAAGCAAAAATCTCCCACTAAAAGTATCCCACATTAGTACCCCTTCCATGTTTAGTCTTGGCTGAGAGTGGCTTGTAGGAAGCATGGCTTTGGGATGAATATGGTGGATAAATCTGAGGCACACTACCTGAGTCCATCAGTCAATTTTGCTTTGATATGGGCATTTTCATGGCCATATTCCACATAATCTTTTGTTATCATTATTATTATTTTAAAGCAAGGTCTTGTTCTGTCACCCAGGGTAGGGTTTAGTGGTACAATTTTGGTTCACTGCAACTTCTGCCTCCTGGTCTCAAGTGATCCTTGCACCTCAGCCTCCAGAGTAGCTGGGACTATAGGTACACACCCCCACGCCAGCTAATTTTTTGTAGACATGGGGTTTCACAGTGTTGCCTAGGCTGGTCTTGAACTCCTGGACTCAAGCAATCTGCCTGCCATGGCCTCCCAAAGTGCTACGATTATAGGGATGAGGCAATGTGCCCAGCTTCTACATAGTCTTATGATAGCTTTTAGCCGCTAGAGAGACTAGGTCCTTTCTAGTTTGAATCCAGAGGAATATAGGCATCTTTATCTTAGCATTCCTAGCAAAAGCTCTGAGAATGACTTGGATTAGGCCAGGCTAGGTCCTGTGCCCACCCCTGAGCCAGGCATGGTGGCCAGGGAATTTTATGCCCTGCTTTGCTCAGGTGTAGTTTTCATGTTCTACTTCCAAGGTAAGAGTTGGAACTCCACCCATACCATAAGAACTGAGAGGCAGTGAGGGACAGATCTCCAAGAAACAATATGCACATAGAATATGTGTATTTTTTATTTTAATGACTGCTGTAAGGTTGCTTTCTAAAGACCCTATAACAATTCACAGTTCCACCAAAAATTATGAGTACCTTCTCCCCCCACAACTTCATCAGCAATATCTTATCTTAGCTTTCTTTTTAAATGCTTGCCTACCTGATGTTTACAAAGTGATAGCTCATTATTAGTTTTAATTTATAATTTCCTAGTTCCTAGTACTAGTGTTTTTAAACTATTTTTTTTCATGTATTCACTGGCTACTTGGATTTGCTTTTCTGTCAATGGATTTCCCCAAATCCCATGTCTATTTTCCTATTGTTTATCTTTTGTCCTTTTTTTTTGTCAGTTTATAAAAGCACTTTTTATGTTATAGCTAATTACCCTCTGTCTGTCCTCTGCATTGCAAATGGGTAAAGAAAAAGTAGCCTGGAACTCTGCACATGTTATCCTCCTTCATCTTTATTGTCCATATTAGACCCATATTCCTCAGGAGACAGTCCAGATCAATATGCCAGGACTACTGTGGGACAACTCCATCATTTATTTTTTTAATTATTATTTTTTATTTTTTTAAAGACAAGGTCTTTCTCTGTTGCCCAGACTGGAGTGCAGTGATGCAATCATAGCTCACTGCAGCCTCAAACTTCTTGGCTCAAGCGATCTTCCCCACCTCATTATTATTGAAAAACAAAATGAGATAATCCCTGGTCAAGGACAAGTTTTCATCACCCACCTCTACCCCTTCCCTCACACACACACTGAAGCAAGATTGCCCAAATTTTGGTCATTCTGGAACCACCACCCCAATTTTTGCCATATCATTTAAGTTGTGTACTATTTATATTTCTGGAAATTGTCCTTTTTTGCACAGATTTATTTTAAAAGCATATATTGTTGCTATTGCATCAGTGTAACTACTGGTTATCTTTTTTCAATGCTCATTAAAATAAATTCATAACTATGAAAATAAAAGACATTTGTGTACTATCCCAAACATACTTACCTTTGGGAAACTGCATTAGAGCATGTCAAGAGGATCACCAGGCTAGTTAGGGACAAGACCGAGGGTTTACAGAGCTGTGAGTTTCATGACCTCACCACTCACTGATTGCACAACCACTCCCATGGAGTGCTTTTTCATTAAAGGTAGGTTCATTTACATCAGAGAAAAGGCAGCATGGAAGAATGCAACTGCTGTACACATATTTGTAGTGGAAATTAGAATACAGGCCTTTCTCCAAAACCAACACTGTAGTAGGGAAAAGGTGTTGGTTTGGCAGAAATAGACTTCAGTCAAGTCCAGTGGACCTACTGTATGTGACATTCAGGGCCCAGGAAGCTGGATCCCAGTGCTGACCAGGATTGTGCTATGAACATTCCACATTCTGGCTAGAACATTAGGGATTCTAAGGTTCTGCTTATTATGCTGGGGTCCAGGGCTTGAAAATGGCAGCCATAGGACCTGGGGCTGTGGTAGGACACAGTCCCTGAGTGGGTCTCAGTGTCCAACACTGTAGCTGGTGCCTGCCAGGTTCCCAGTGGCAAGGGTCACTAGGTCTGAAGAGAGATGTGCTGGCTGGGGGCATGGGGCCAGATCCTCCTACCAATTTTTCTCTCCCTCTTTCTCATCCAATTGCTTATCAGCTTCTCAGAGAATGGTTTTTTCTATAGCCCCAGGAACAATCAGAAACCAAGAGATGGAATTGAAGAGGGTGAGTGATCTGGAGCCCTGAGTCGTGTGCCCCATGTATTCCAGCATTGTTTTTCCTTTTAATTGTGCCATCTGGGTGCACTAAAACTTTCATCTCAAAAGTTGTCATTTGGTGCTGATGGGAACACATTTTAAAGGCTCTAGATGGTTTTGGTGAAACTTGGTTAAATTGGACTCAGATTAATTTGCTTTATCTGAAGTATGAAAGGTGGATTCAAACAGTTTTAAATTTGAAGAAAAGCATGGTTTCTCCCACCTCACTTTTTGCATGACTTATGGCATATAGGCTTTTTGTTATGGCATATAGGCTTTTTGTTGTGAATAAGCCATTGAGTTTTGTTCTAATCAGACCCACCCAATGGTTATAGCTCCTCTTTTTTAGTTTTTAAAGGTCTTAGCTAATAAAATCCTTTATTTGTTCTTTTTCATTAAAAACAATTACTTCAGTTTGGAGGCTTCTCTTGGTTTCCCTCCCCCAATGAAAAAATTTTGAAATGTTAAAAGTCATGCTGAGTTAAATTCATGAACCTGGAAATAAGGTTTTTAGTATCCTAAACTGGAAACATGTATATAAAATAAGGGACAGAATTTGAATTACTTGGAAAGTGCCTTGTGAAGCCAAGATTACCATTTTTTACAAAGACTATGAGACTGAATAATTACTGCTGTCTGGTTTCCAGAGTAGAAAAGAATGTTAGTATCTGTAAGCAAATCAGTCTTTCTTACTAAAACCAAATCCACAGTTCTCAGCATTGCACTGAAATAAGAATCTCCTTTGAGGGGGTAGGGTTGGGGGAGGCTGAAGTAAAAACCTAGCTTGTTTTCTTTGGTTTTGTCTTTCCCACAGATTTCTTTTTTAACCTCTTGGTCACCCCTATATGTACTCTAAGGTAAAAGTGTTCCAGTGCCATCCTGGCCCCTTCTCCCAACACACAGCACCTAAAAGCATAGGCCCAAGCATAGAAACAAATTTTTCCTTTTGTTCCCTAGCAAAATGGACTCATACTGGAAATTTTCAAAAGACTTTATCAAAATGCTGATGAAGAACAAAAAAAAAAAAAAAGAAAACAAATAAAATAAATCAAAAATCACAGATAAGATAATCTCTAAAGAGTGAAGTTTCTGATAGATAAAGGAGGAGCCTTTATCTAGGAGAAGGAGCCCACTTCTAGGGCTGGCACACTGGAGTCCCTGTTTCTGAGGAAACAGCTTGCAATTGCCTGGGAAGCCTGGTTCAACCTGTCAAGGGCCTCCCCTGAGTGTTTGCATCTTAGGCTTGGGCCAGTTCCCCTTTGTGCTTGCATTTAATCTTCCCATCTAACAAGGATATGGTTTCTTAGACATCATGATACTTTTCACTTCCAAAACTGAGAAGGGGCTTCAAAGCCATCACTGAGATCCTCATCTGCATCCTGGACTTTGCCCTAAGTGACAGGCAACAGACAGGACTTTGTGAAGGATTGCACATCAAGTGAGACCCGCCCTAAGCAGGTTGCTTTGATCCCCAGGGCTTCTAACTCTGATGTTCATATATATTTGAGAGTTTAGTAATCAATATCTCAAGAAATTATAGTAAGCACTTGATGGAACTTTGGGTTAATCTTCTAGAATCTAATGAATGGGTTAAAAACTGTATTAAAACCCAGAGAAATTTTTTCACTGGAAGTAACCAGACAACAAAGGAACATAGTGCAAAAAATGAGTAGCAACTAAGGAAAGAACTGGAAGATTCTGGATCATAACAGAATAGCACAGCATGGCAAGACTCCAAATGTTACCACCCCCTCCCTTAGAGGTAACTAGCAAGTCACTATAATCCAAGAATTTTTATTAATTCTCCCAAATCTAGAGAGAAACAAGTTGAGTGGGTATCCTATTCTTTATCTTATTCTAAAGATGAGAAGAGAAATTGGCTACTGAGGAGAAGTGGAATGAGGACCGAAAGAGAGAGGGCCTGAGTCTCTGATGGAAACTCAGATTCCTGAGTTATAAGCTGGATTTGAGGGCAGATCTAGAGTCCAAAGAGATCCTCTTTGTGGAAATGGGAAACACCTCTGATAAACTCTAGCAAACTTTGACATTGGAAAATGACAAACCTCAAAAGAGAGAGCAGAGCCAGATATTCTAACAAAGTTTGGCACAGCCTCATCTGAGTTCTCCCCCTTGTCAAATGCTGAAAACAATGGAGTGAATAGAACATAAAATGCCATAAAACTGTAGCTTCTTGAAAAAAATCTCAAGAGTAGTGGTAAGGTGGTTAAGATCTCACATACACTATGTCAGAACAAATAGACAGTGTGAATAGAGCTACATAAGCATTAGTACAATAAAAACAATATAGCAACTATGTAAACCTTGCACAGCAAAATAAATAAAGGAGTACGTGATAGCATGCAAACCACCTCCACAACACACACCAAATAATCTACCCTAGAGGAAAACACAACTCAAGTAACATGAAAATTTCCCTACAAGTGCTTGGAACTAGAAAACAATCAAATGAGAAATAGATTCAGTGAAGCAAGCCTCAAAGTCAAGACAGTAAGATATCAGAATGAGGGGAGGACTCAAGATGGTGCTGTGAGAACAACCCAGGATTGGAGCTCTCGTTGAATCTGCAAAGAGGTGAGTCCGAGCTGCATTTCCAGACTGATCTTTGTTGCCCACAGAATGGGGAAACTCCCAAGTATAAAAAAGACACGGGATGCCAGGCAGTAGGTCCCCACAGGGCGCGCTTGTCCGGGTGCCCTCTTGAACCGGCAACCTGAGACTTGAGAGGGCTGGACTTGAGACTGAACGAGACTTGGACAGTAGGCCAGCCCAGGGGATTGCAGGGACGGATCGTTTGGGGTACCCAGTGGGACGAATAAAACCGCGATTTCAAACTATCCCGAGCAGACGGTCCGAGACGCTCTGTGGGGGAGGGGCGTCCACCACTACCGAGGCAACCCGCCCCAACTGAGATACACGCCCACTGCTGACGCAGCCTTCCGCTGCCGAGGCAACCTGTCCCTACTGAGATACACGCCCACTGCTGACGCAGCCTTCCGTTGCCGAGGCAACCCGTCCCTACTGAGATACATGCCCACTGCTGATGCAGCCTGCCATTGCCGAGGCAACACGCTACAACGAAGAGACTCTGCCGCAGGGCGTGGGGGAGACCACAGCAGAGCCTGCAGGAACAGGGCGAATCACACAACAGCAGGGCGGAGCCTCGGCAGCCAAACAGTGGCTAGTCTGCCTTCTAGCTGGGCAGGACACCTCAACGGACATCGAAAAATAAAGCCTGAACCCCCCAACACAGAGCATTTGAGAAAAAAAGGGTTTTTTTAATGAGCTCTGTTGCAGCAGAATCAAACATAGCAGCCTAACAGCCCTGAATGAACAACAGAGCTCACAGATCAGCAATTGAGCTCCAAAAAAGCACAGACTGTCTCCTCAAGCAGCTCCCTGACCCCTCTATATCCAAAACACTGATTTTTGGCAGGCATCATCCTGGGACAAAGATAACAGAAAAAGAAACAGGTAGCATCCCTCACTGTGCCACAGCTGCTAGAGGTGCACCCCAGACAAGCAGGGCCTGGAGTGGACCTCAGCAGTCGTACAGCGAAGGGGCTAGGCTGGTAGAAGGAAAACCAAGTAACAGAAATACTTCATCATCAACAATCTGGGTGTCCACTCAGAGACCCAATAGAAAAGGCAGCAACTACACAGAGGACAAGTGGATAAACCCACAAAGATGGGAAGAAACCAGCAAAAAAAGGAGGAAAACACCCGAAACCAGAACATCTCGCCTCCTAGAAAGGACCAAAACTCCTCACCAGCAAGGGAACAAAGCTGGACGGAGAATGACTGTGACGAAATGATGGAATTAGACTTCAGAAGGTGGATAATGAGAAACTTTTGTGAACTAAAAGAACATGTATTAAATCAATGCAAAGAAACTAAGGAACTTAAAAAAAGATATGAGGAAATGATAACAAGAATGGATAACTTAGAGAGGAATATGAATGAATTAAAGGAGCTGAAAAACACAATACGAGAACTTCACGAAGCATGCACAAGTTTCAAAAGCCGAATTGACCAAGCAGAAGAAAGAATATCTGAAGTCGAAGGCCAACTCAATGAAATTAAACGAGAAACCAAGATTAGAGAAAAAAGCGCAAAAAGGAATGAACAAAGTCTCCAAGAAATGTGGGACTATGTGAAAAGACCTAACCTACGTTTGATAGGTGTACCAGAAGGGGACAAAGAGAATGAATCCAAGCTGGAAAATACTCTTCAGGACATCATCCAGGAAAACTTCCCCCACCTAGCAAGACAGGCCAACACTCAAATGCAGGAAATACAGAGAACAGGACAAAGATATTCTGCAAGAAGAGCAACCCCAAGGCACATAATCGTCAGATTCAACAAGGTTGAAATAAAGGAGAAAATACTAAGGGCAGCCAGAGAGAAAGGTCGAGTTACCCACAAAGGGAAGCCCATCAGACTCACAGCAGATCTCTCGGCAGAAACACTACAAGCCAGAAGAGAGTGGGGGCCAATATTCAACATTCTTAAAGAAAAGAACTTTCAACCCAGAATTTCATATCCAGCCAAACTGAGCTTCAGAAGTGAAGGAAAAATAAAATCCTTTGCGAATAAGCAAGTACTCAGAGATTTTGTCACCACCAGGCCTGCTTTACAAGAGCTCCTGAAAGAGGCACTACACATAGAAAGGAACAACCAGTACCAGCCATTCCAAAATCACACTAAAAGCTAAAGAGCATCAACATAATGAAGAATCTACAACAACTAACAGGCAAAACAGCCACTTAGCATCAAAATGGCAGTATCAAATTCACACATAACAATATTAACCCTAAATGTAAATGGACTAAATGTGCCAATCAAAAGACACAGACTGGCAAATTAGATAAAAATCCAAAACCCATCAGTATGCTGTATCCAGGAAACCCATCTCACATGCAAGGATACACAAAGGCTCAAAATAAAGGG